GTTTGGCCAGAGAAGGTGGCAGCTCTGGCACGCGGCAGTGCCTGGGCCGCTGCGTGACAGCCTCTCCTGTCCCTCGTCCCAGGCCAACGACGCCTGCAAGTGCCATGGCTGGAAGAACCCCAACCCTCCCACCGCCCCCCGCATGGACCTGCAGCAGCCGGTGACCAACCTGAGCGAGCCCTGCCGGAGCTGCGGACATGCGCTGGGTAACCCCCTCAGGGCGCTCGGGACCCCCCTGGGGAGGGGGAGCGGTGCTGAACCCCGCCTTGGTCTCACTTCAGCTCTCTCTCTGCCACAGCGGACCACGTATCCCACCTGGAGAACGTCTCAGAGGAGGAGATCAACCGGTTGCTGGGCATGGTGGTGGACGTGGAGAACCTCTTCATGTCGGTGCACAAGGAGGAGGACACGGACACCAAGCAGGTGTATTTCTACCTGTTCAAGGTGTGTCTGGGGCTGGGCACGTTGCGCAGGGGTCCCTCGGCGTTGCTGGGGAGTGGGGGCTGCTGTCCTGCTGCTTGTCGTCTGCCTGCTCTGCTGGGAGCTGTGGCTGTGACCCATCCCACCAGCCCAGCCGGAGACCTGACATGCTGACCCTGTCCTGGGAACAACTGCTCTCCTGGCCCTGAATTCCCCCGGGAGGGAAGTTTCGAGGGAAGAAACATCCGTGCTCTGGGGTGGACGCCGGCACCTTCCCGGCTGTGTAAATCGGTGCAGCCCCACGGCAGCGTTCTGCCACTTGTGGTGTGCCCGGTTCTTGGGACCGCAGTAACCGTGTCCCACGGTGTCTTCGCAGCTCCTGCGGAAGTGCATCCTGCAGATGAGCCAGCCTGTGGTCGAGGGGTCCCTGGGCAGCCCCCCCTTCGAGAAACCAAACATTGAGCAGGTGAGGCCACTGTCAGGCTCGCGCGTTGCACTGATGTCTTGCCCTGTTTTGCTGTTCTCGCTGGGTCCCCTCCCTCTTTGGGGGCAGCACGAAGGGTCTGGCGCAGCACCCGGCGCCCCTCCACCGCCCCTTCCCCTCCCCAGGGAGTCCTGAACTTCGTCCAGTACAAGTTCAGCCACTTGCCGCCCAAGGAGCGGCAGACCATGTACGAGCTCTCCAAGATGTTCCTGCTCTGCCTCAACTACTGGAAGCTGGAGACGCCATCCCAGTTCCGGCAGCGCTCGCAGAACGACGATGTAGCCACCTACAAGGTCAACTACACGAGGTGAGGGTGGGAGGGGGTCTCAGCCAGCCTGGGGGTCTGCCCGCTCCTCTCCCCCCTGCCTGGGGCTGACCCCTGACGCCCGGGGTCTTCCCCTCTCCCCAGCTCTCCCAGGCGAGGAGAGCAGGCGTCCAGTGGGGAGACTGCTTCCAAATAACATCGGCCGTGACCCCCCCCAGACACCTCCTCCCCTCGTCCCTGCTCCCAGCAGTGTATTCCCAGGAGGGATGCGGATGCTCTGGGGCCGCTGGTCCCAGCCCTGTCACTGGAGCTTGTTCATCTCCTAGGTGGCTGTGCTACTGCCACGTGCCGCAGAGCTGCGACAGCCTTCCCCGCTACGAGACCACCCACGTCTTCGGGCGCAGTCTCCTGAAGTCCATCTTCACGGTCACCCGCCGGCAGCTGCTGGAGAAGTTCCGGGTGGAGAAGGACAAGTTGGTGCCGGAGAAGCGGACGCTGATCCTCACCCACTTCCCCAAGTAGGTGCCCGAGGTGGGGGTGGCTGCTGCGCTGCTGGGGGGGCTCTCCTCTCTCGGGGCACTTGCACCCCGAGTGGGACCCCCTGCGTTCCCCTCGGTATGCGGAGCCGTGGGGCTGTGTGTGCCCGGCACCTGCTCGCCAGTGGACGTGCCGCTCCCTGCCAGGTTCCTGTCCATGCTGGAGGAGGAGATCTACGGTGAGAACTCTCCAATCTGGGAGGCCGATTTCACCGTGCCGGCCGCAGAGGGTGCCCAGATGGTGTCTCGCCCAGGTATCGCGGGGAGCAGCTCCCCCAGCTCAGGGGCTGTAGGATAAAGGACCGAGGTGTGGGTGAGCTGTCGGCAGTGGCGGGGGGGGCACCGGACCGCAACCAC